CGGCGCTGGCGAGAGTAAAGCTGCGATGGGAAAGCAGAGGTGGTTTGGGGGGGTATGGCAGCAGAGGCAAAGGACGGGCGAATCGCAAGGAACAGGGTGTGAGCAGGGCGATGGGCATTAAAAAAATAACTCTGTCAGGCCTGGAAATGCTGAATTGTGATTCTTGCAAATCGCAGCACTGAACAAGCGAGGAGGAAAAGCCCTGTGTGTTTATTTTGTTCACTCAATAGCACTGTCAGTTTTCTTCATCCTTACCATGGCAATAAGAGAGGAGACATCTGCTTTAGTAACCAGGGAAGGATATATTTATGTATGTGTGCTTTAAGCAGAACTCAAAGGTACGTGCAAACCTGCAACTGTTCCTCAGTTTGAGACCCACTGTTTTCCACTGGTGATGGTCTCAGCTCAGGCCATGGATCTGCACATCATTTCCGAGAAAGAAAACTAGTATTGTAAACATCCTACGTGCCTTCAGCATGAAAAAAAGCAGCACACCTTACTAAAAACCTTATCGGGAGGGTCACCTTGAGCTGAAAAAAGACACCAGTCTGCAAGTGTCGGTGTACACACAACAAAAACAAGCGTTTGAGGAACTGGTACATCTGGGCTTTGTTTCCTGTGCATGGGCGAGGTGTCAGATTTAGGTCACCCTGCTCCATGTTTCAGCTGTGGTTCCTGTGAGCACCTTTTAATACACCTCTAAAACGCTTTGACAGGGTGTGATGCAACATGCAGAAAGTGTGAAATGTTGCCGGAACCAAAGGGAACAGGTATTTAAGAGCTTCCGAGCAGAATCATTGCTTTTTAAGGCTGGCTTCCCCCGGGTAATTGAGTTTCCTGCAGCAGCAGCAGCAACTCTTTCTGACTTCTCAGCAGTAACAGGATCCCACGTCCCTCCTGCATTTAGAGTAAGACTTTTGCTGCCTGTGCGAAGGAAACCCAAACTCATTGAGTTTGGAGACAGCGGGGAGAACACACGTATATATAATTTCATCCACTTGGCAGATCTGGGTGTATGCAGTTCTCCGATGCCCCTTGAAGTGAGCGGATTGCATTCCCCCCCTCCCTATAGGGTTACTGCCAACCACGGCCCCATCCCCTGACCCATGGGGCAGCGATCACCCCACACCGCCTGCCCCGAGCCCCATTAGAGGGGTTTATAGTTACACCAAAGCCTTCTCCGAGTCCGGCGTGGGCTCTCCGCCCCTCCTTGCCAATAAAGCCACTTCAAAGGAGGAAAAATAATCCAGGTGATTCGTTTCCCTGGCCCCACCACCTTGACCACTTCTGTTTCGGTCGCTGGGAGAAAGTCAGGACAAAGAGCTCAGTCTTGCTGGCAGTGAGGCAGCCAAGCCCTGGTGCAAAATATATTCATTTCTGTTCATGTCCAGAACACCCCAAAACACAGCAGTCAGGCCAGCCCCCCCACAGGAGCATCGTGGCACGACGCATGGAAACCCGCAGCCGCCTGCATGGAAAAAGCCAACCCAGGCTGTTGCAAACTTATTTATTTATGAAGTGTGAGGTAATGAAGAAAGTGCTAAATCCGACCACAGTGTTAACTCTAACGGTTCTCAGCAGGTCAGCGGGGACCCGAGGGTGCCATCCTGCACGGCCACCCCTGCCAGCACCCCTGGGA